TTTTAAAAATTAAAAAAAAAACATCAAACTAAAAGATATGGCCTCTTAACAGCTCTTGTACTACTTATATATTAAAATTTTTTATAAGCTAAGTTTTATTTTCTGGCTATAAGAGGGGAAGCAGAAATACTTAGGATGGGAGATAATGGTGAACAGGAAAGAGAAGACAGCCTGACTCCTGCCAAGCTCTAGACACAGATTGGACGTAGTCATATTATCAACAATGAATTTCCTAATAATAAAACACATAAACAACAATTAAACTATAAAATTTCCCTGATCAAATGAAAAAAGTAATGCATTTCCATGGGATGGAAGATGAGCCAGGAAAGGCATCAAGACTATAGTCAGAGAACACTGTGGCTAACACCCCTTGCCCAAGAAGCCTTTATAGTGTTCTGCAAAATGTTTGCTGCTTTGGTTTAAAGCAGAAAGAAGAAATGTTTGAGAGACAGCTGGTGTTAGCCATGCTGTGAGTGACAGAATACAGAATGAAAATCTCATGCTTTCACATAGTATCTGGGAATTACCTGGAGATCAAGGCAAAGTCTTTGAGTGTCAATAAAAAAAAAAACTAAAATCATTGAAAAACTAAAGAGTCATAAATAGAAGACCTCATTCTCTGTCAAGCATACTCTGGGAAGAAGCAGCTAACAAATTAAAGAGAACAGTGTCTTATAGCAAAATTCCTCCAACACTGCAGTAAGGGAGTTGTACAGAAGGCAAACTAATAGGTTTTGTGAATCAGAAAGCATGACAGACATATTTCCATCACACTAACCAGCAACTAAGGCATCCTTAGGCCATCGACTGAACCAGTCAATTGTGCATCCTGAAATAAGGGCAGGGAATTTCAGAGCTCGATTTCGAAATTTCTCCCCAACAGGTGAAAAGCAGAGCACAATGTGAAGGTTCCCCCGGACGCGGCTCATGAAGAACTCATAGAGGTTCTCGTTGGTGGGAGGGCGCCTGGGGTGTTCCTTCTTCATGACTGATGTCAGGTCACTGTTAATTTCATCAATTTCATCTCGAGCAAATAGGTTGGAGACCTTACAAAGAAATATAGGTATCAAAATTCAGTACACATTTATGAAGCAACCAAAATACATAGTAGGGCTAAGATCTTTACTCCATTTGTGTTTTCTATTTTTCCAAGAACTTTTCTCATTTGAGTACTTTTTGGAGAATTTCATACATGAGTACTGCATTTACATCTATTCCTCTCTCTCCCTTTCCATGTCCCCCTATCTCAAGTCTATGACCTCTTCATTTTTGTTATGTATATAAAATATTCATAGGTACATATACACACAACCTACTGGTGTTGTATGTAAATGTGTTTAGGGATGAGCACTTAGGATTGGATAACCTATCACAGAGCTCATCCCTGGGGGGAAAAGAACTAGAAAAAAACTGATTCTCCCTCTCTCCATAACCATTGATTAACTATAGCTCTTCATCTAGAAGTGGGACCTTGTGAAATTTTTCCCATCCACACTGGTGTATCAACTAGTGTTGTCATACTGAGATCTTGTTTAGGTAGCCATATTGCTAACATTTTGTAGATACAGTTTCCCTCTAATGTTTAAAAGACACAGTCTAGCAGCAGGTGTCCTGGTCCGCTGGCTCTTATAATCTTTCCATGGCCTCATCCAAGAAGCTTCTTTTTGTAACACAGAGACTATTACAGAGATCCACCATAGATCAAAATTCAGAGAATAAGTGACCGTAGGGTACCCAGCCCCAACTGACACATCTACAATGCAGCCCTCATACCTAAGGCTCAAGGAACATCAATTTGCTATTCAACTCACTCTAAAAATGAACTGAAAATTTCAAGAAGAAATATATCACATTTTAACATATACAAATAATTCTATGGGGGCTGGAGAGATGGCTCAGCAGTTAAGAACACTGGTTGTTCATGCAGAAGATGAGGGTTCGAATCCCAGCACCCACATGGCAGCTAACAACTGTCCGTAAATCCAGTCCCAGGAGATCTGACAGCCTCTTCTGACCTCCGCAGGTATTGCACGACACAGGTGCACTTACCTATATGCAGGCAATACACGCATACACATAAAATAAAAATAATAAATAAAAAATTTTTAAGCTTTAAAAAACAAACAATAATTGATTAACTGCAAGGCCAGATCCCTGAAACAGGATAAGTGAAAATCCAGTAAGTTTTCTTCTAAACTTTTTCGTTTGTCACTTGGAGCACTCACTGTTTCAAATGCTTAGCTCCACACCTTAATTGGGAGTTTTATTCTTTAAAAACCCAACAGAAAAGGTCATCCACATGCTAACTGCCAAGTTCCTAAGAGCACTAATTCAAAATTCTAAAGGAAGAAAATATGAGGAGTTCTATGTTGGAAGAAATCTGGAGAGACAAACACGAAGAATAGCAGCTCCTACCTCGCCTGATGACAGAACATTGTTCATGTATTCCAAAAATGATTCCTCTTTAATCTCATTGTCTGTGAAAATAAAAGTGACTCCTTTGCCCTGCTGGCCAGCTGTCCTATACAAAGCCTTCAGGTCTTCCATCAGATTTGATGTGTTGTAGGACCTGAAGAAACACAGTCACTGTGTCATTCACAAAATATTTGCATGGAAAGGCAAGAGCCTTATAGCAAAACCTTATGCTATCTAGCCAGCCAAATAATGCTGGTTATATCCCATCATACAGATATTCACTCTTTATAAGTGTTACGAGTTAACTGATTTTTCAACTTCACATTTCACAAAAAATTTACTAAATGCTTTTACATACAAAGTTAAAGTTGAAACAAAAATATAATTTTTACCACAAGCAAATATCATTTAACACAGACATGTCATGCGAATATGTATAGATTTCATTTTGAAAATACATGGTGATACACAATGATAATATTTACTGGGAATGATAATTAGAAGATTTATTAGCCACCCATCTGCAGATAACATTTTAAAAGCTACCTCATAAACTGAGCTAGACTGAACTACATCAGTTTCAAGATTTCATAATACCAGGAGAGAGCAGCTGTATTTTTACCAATGCCGTTCTCATCTTCTGACACTACTATAATACTCATATCTTTCAATTCCACATGCAGTTAGTTTTCAGAGCAATCACAGAATAACCGGGAACATTATGAAATATATCCCACTATAAATCTCCTTCCACTCTGAAAAGCAATTCTTGGATAGAATTCAGTCTACAATCAAGAACTATTAGGGCAGTCTACAAAGTAGTCCATAACCACCAAAAGTATAAAAGAAAGCATCCAATCCTGGAGACAGACTTACTAAACTAGTCATCTTTTGTGGTATTAAAAGACTCAAAATTAAGAACACAAGATCAATAACCACCTGACTTTTTAAAGCTATTAAATGTTTAATATCTAAACTCACATTTTTAACAGCCATAAACTAAATCCATAATCATGCATTAATATCTCTAGACTTGTAGAGAAACAAGATCAGAAAAAAGTTGTTTTTTCAATATTTTTATTATTTTTATTTTATGTGTATGCATGTATTGCTTGCATGTAGGTAAGTGCACCAGTGTCATGCAATGCCCATGGAGGACAGAAGAGGCTGTCGGATCCCCTGGACCTGGAGTTACTGACAGTTGTTAGCTGCCATGTTGGTACTGGGATTTGAACCCGGGTCTTCTGCAAGAACAACCAGTGTTCTTAACCTCCCCCTGTAAAAAAACAAAAGAGGGGCTGGGAAAGTGGTTCAGTCAGTAGAGGGCTTGCATCACAATCCAGAGAGCCTGAGTTCCATCTCTCAGAACTCAAGTTAAAAAAAAAAAAAAGTCAGGTAAAGTGGGTGCACAACTCTAATCCTAGCACTCAGGAAGCAGAGACAGAACAATCCCTTGGGCTTGCTGACCACTAATCTAAATGAATCAGTGAGATCCAGATTCAATGAGATCCCTGTCTTGAAAAATAAGGAGACAATTTGAGGCCTTATAGTGACTTCTGACCTTCATATCCATGCAAATGTGGAGAGAGAGAAAGAGAGAGAGAGAGGAGAGAGACAGAGAGAGAAAGAGACTCAGAGAGATAGAATCTTCTTGCAGCTTCCTGAACATGGGGAAAATTTACTGCTTTCAGATGTGACCAGTAACTGTGCTTCTCAGCTAGGAGGTTCCTGCATTCCTTGGCCTGTGTAAAAAGCTTATGGTATGAGATGGTCTCTTGAACACTAGGAGAAGGTGAGGAAGACCTTGTCTTTCTTCTCACTGGTATGATCATTCTCAGTGTGACATGCAAAGGAACTAATCTATCACAGTTGAGAGCTGTTGTAGGGTGTTTACTGAGCCATTGGGGTGCAGTAGGAGTCACACTTGACTAGAAACCTGTATTGATTGCAAATCCTGCAATGCAATCAATTCCCCGACTCCATCTGATGTCATGCAATTCACAGCTTCTCTGAACTTTAGCTGTAAGATGGACTATTGCTATCTGACCCCTTAACCTACAAAGTTCTTTAAAACCAAATTAACTCATGCATATAAAAGTGTTTTGAAAACAATAGAGTTTTATACAAATATAAAGGACAAAAATGTGAGTCCAATCTTCTTTCTGTGCAGGTTATCTATTTCCTAGCTTAGCTCCACGAACTCGAATTACACACAAGGTAGCAAGGGCTATTTCTGTCATCCTGATACTTGAATGAAACAGCAGTGTTTGAATTTATTCTCTAAGGAGAGCCCTGTAATTCAGACCAAACACCAAGCATGAAAACTTGAGCTAGAATAGCTGGGTCTCCAACCCTAGTGTTTAATAACATTCAGCCTTTATGTTAGCAGGTGCATATAGGCCTCCCTTAACAGCACAGGACAGTCACCTGTTTTGTCCATTAATTCCAAATAGGCAGGGCTTCCTACCCCTACACTTCTGAATTAACTGCAAATAATTTTGTCTCAACAGAACTTCTCAAACTGGCTTCTGAAACGTGGTTAGACTTCTCTGCATCACCTCTGCCTATCTCTTTATGCTCACTGTCCACTAGCTAATTCTCTACTTACACCACCCGCACACCTGACGGCAAAGCCTCTGACACTCCTTCTCTTCATAAATAGTGACCACATAATTTTTTATCCCCCAAATCAAGATGTACCAAGAGAAGAGCTCTGGCCTCCTAGCGGTCTCTTGGATTTCTCTCTGTTCTCAGTGTTACTCCCCATGACGTCATCATCTCTCGCCTAGAGTACTGAAACGGCAGCTTCATCACTAGGCCAGCTTCAGTCCTTCCATTCATTTTTCTAGCATACAAATCTGACATGCCTCCCCTCCCACACACTGGTATGGTAATCCACCAGTGTTTTCCCACCTCTCTGGGGTGATGTTTCAATTCCTTACCACACCTTTAAAGGCCTCCATGACTCGTCCATTCCCACTTCCCACTCACACTCCACAGCCAGCCATGTTTAACTCTTTCAGGGCTCAAAGAAACTTCACAATGCTGATGCTTCTGCCTAGAAACTCTGAACAGCTACTCTTCTCAAATTTCTACTCAGATTCAGGTTTCATTTTAACATCATTTCCTCTAGGAAGCCTTTTCTGGTAAGTCTGCGTTTATTCCCCTATCAGACACAGACAGCACTTATGGACCACTCCTTGAGTGAACTGTTCATCACCTATATCTTTTGAGTTAAGCACTATGATGTCTCAGGCTACAATTCTCTAGGCTATACATTGGTTCTGGTCAGGAATCTACTTTGTGTCCCAAGGGCTCATGGCTTGACCCCCAGCCTGTTATGATTAGAAAATGTTAGAACCTTAGGAGGTGCGGTGCCTGGTGGAAGAAAATTAGGTCACTGAACATTGGTGGTGTGAGATGTTGGTACCTCTCTCTCTTCTCTCTCCCCTCTTCTGCTCCCTCCTCTCTCTCTCTTTCTTTCTCTCTTTCTCTCATCTCTTTCTCTCTTTACCTATTTCTCTTTCACTGCATCCATGAGGTAAGCAGTTTTGCTCTACCACACATGCCACACTGCCCATCATGGTGTCTGCTTCACCACAAGTCCATAAACAACAGAGCCAATAGCCCATGGTCTAAACCATGAGCCAAGGTAAACCTTCTCACCTTTTAAATTGAGTATCTCAGTTATTTTTCCCCCAGTGACAAAGGCTAACACCATCTTGTTCTCCTAGTCAGTGCTAAGCACCTACTCTAACATTCAATAAATACTTTGAAGCATTTTAGTATTGGAATTTTCATCTATTTTTCATTATATTAACATTGTTGATATCTGTAGTAACACTTTTGATGGCTAAATCTCTTCTGTGATATAGCAGAGGATACATGGAATGTTCATATTGTATATAACATAAAAAACAGGAAAGCAGAGGCTGAAATATTTCAAAAGCAGGTTACTAATATAAAACATTCCTGGTCCATGACAAAGGTTGAAAGAGGCAGACATATCAACACTCGAGTTGGAAAACCATTGTGATCCTTAATGTATTTAAGAAAAAATGCATTCCTAACTTCAGGTGGCCTTTGAAAACCTTTCTTCAAAATCCATTTTAGGTTAAAGTAAAAGCTCTTTACCTTGTCAGAGTGATCTGGAACGAGGTATAGCCAGCAATGAAGGAAGCCAACCTTGTCAGGCTCTGTTTCCCTGAGCCGCCCACCCCAACCAGGAGGGCATTTCCCCGAGGAGTGCGAATGACTCGAGAGATCTATAATATGAAACAGAAAAGCTTTACATCTTTCAACATGTAAATATGCCATTTTTCTATACATTCAAAATAAGACTAAGGTCAAATAGTCATTTGAGAGACAGGTATCTCTGGTTGAAGGGTACTTCTGAACTATGAGAGCACTTCGGATGCTGTGGGGTGGTGACAGTGGAATGTGCCCTCAAGAACCCAGAGGACACCAGCACAGAAAAGTTTAGACATGGTCTAGACTGTGGCTGGTTCTGTGTTTTCAATGAGACAAAAAAGGAGGACTTCAAGGTATCCTTTTAGTTTGCCCAACTTAATGCAGTAAATAGGAAAGATGGCAGAAATTTTGGAAAAGTATTCTCACAATACAGAGCATACGGTTAATTAGAGTTCCCTCCACATCTGAAAATAAATAGCCTAAATCAAAGGGAAGAAAAATCCCAACATGTGACATAGAAGACGGAAGGATTTTTTAAAGAAGAAAATGTGCATAAACACCCTTCTACTTTTTGGCATAGAAAGTGATGCTTAAGATGTCTACAAAGAAGTGATAAAAGGTGGGTCCGGAGTGCACTCCACCACTGCCCAGTATCCAGAGTCCATTCCCAGTCCTCCTGAGAGAAGTTAATGCATTTGACTTTACTAGTATTGAATGAAGCATTCAAACCATCAGGCTTGCAGCCCCTCTTGGAGAGGATTCAGAATATCACCTTATGTGATAAGTACTTAGGTGATAAGACCAGTGATAACTACTCGTCTTTGCCTCCTAAATTATATTCCTAATCTACAGTACTGCTGTAGAATACTCTTTGCAAATGACCGAGAAGGGTGAGGGCAGAAAGTACGTTGCTTCTCTGGCTCTATGAGGTTTCCTGGAGTTCTGTATCTTCAAGCTCCTCCTCTAACTAAAGGGTTCTCCACTCCTGTGGGAAATACCACTGGGTTTGGGATTAATCTTCCACAATGTGAAGACGTGGAGACAGAAACACGCTATCTATATGCACCTCGAAATGGGGACAGATGCAGTTTGTTTTCCCAGCTAGAAAACTCTCTACAAAGTCGCTGTGGTTGGAGGGGCTGGCATGTGTCTTCTCACATCATCCCCTGGTGCAAATTCAAAATGTGGAGCAGATGAGGAGATACTCAAACCTGCAAGACAAGCTTCTGACTTCCCTTGGTTGCTACTCCACAGCCATAACTATGTCCTTGTTTTGGTGAATATAGTCACAGGTTGTGTAAATGGTTGTGTATTTGATTTTAAGGAATCTTCATCACAACAACTTCTTTTTTTCATTACAAGGCTGGAATTTAGCTAAGGTTATGTATTTCCCAGTTTCTGGCACATAATAAGCCCTCAAAGCAGTTGAAAAGTGTTTGTACAAACAAGCAAATAGAAGGCTTAAAGCAGATTCAAAAGAGATAACTAGTCAAAAATCAGAGATGACAGGAAAAAAATGTATTCAAAGAGACCTTTCCTGTGAGGTGTGGATTGAAATAAAAATGTCCATGTTTGCATCGCACTCTGATGTACATGGAAGTCTCACTAGCCAAATTTTGGAGAATAAGAGACTATAGAGTGTAGGATGGGACTCCTATATGGAACTTCAAACCAACCCACAGCTCAGGGACCGTTGTGGAAGAGGAGGCAGAAAGATTGTAAGAGCCAGGGCTGGTTCATGAACATATGAGGTGGAGGCTCCCAGGCCACTGGAGGCTTGCTTATGTGAGCCTGCGGCAGTGGGGGCATCCAACGTGGGACCCATGTCAGCTCAATTAAACGAGGGCTCAAAGGGGAAGTAAGAAATAGGTAGCAGGCCAGCACTAGATTGAGAACTGTTTGAGACTGATTGCTGCTGGATGAGGGAGAGTATGACTTACATACGACCACTGCATGGGCTGAATAGACTCCAGTGTACACATTTACACTGAAGATCACTTGGGTGCAAACACCTGAATGAATAGGACTCAGCAGGTATGGCAGAGTGCATAGGGTTTGGTGGGGAATGGGGGAGGAATGGATGGTGAGGGGTTCTAGATTTGAGTGTGAAATGTATGAAATTTAAAAAGCTATATATATATACATATATATGATGCATATATATATACATATATATCATGACTATGTTTTAATTTCATTAGCAAGTCTTTAGAAATCAAGCATGCTCCTCCTGCCCTACAGCACTCACACTTCCAGGGAGGAGAGGGCTTTCGGTGGAAATGGTAAACGCTGGACAGAAAAAGAAATGACACGGAGGGAAGGAACCGCAAGGTAGCACCACTGCCTCCAGGGGCCGAGTCTTAGGTAGGTATAGAGTTTGAATTTGATCTAAATTTTGAAAGATGACTAGAAGTTCACAAAGACAGTGGCACACTGTCTGAACATGTCGGCATAGACCTATAATCCCAGCAAGAGAATTCAGGAATTTGAGGCCAGCCTCAGCTAGACAGTAAATAAAAAGGCCAGCTGGGCTACACAGCAAGACCTTGTCTCTAAAAACAAAGCAAAGTGACAAAACAAGTAAGAAGAAGGAAGAGGAAGAAGAGTGGGAAGGAGGAGAAGCAAGAGGGGACGAGAAAGAAGAGGAGTCGCAGGAGGAGGAGGACAAAGGCATGAGGGGCAGAAGCTGGGCTGAGTTTGAAGGAAGAAGGAATGAGACACATGAGTTCTCAGCATCAGCAAAAGGCCGAAGTTGTCCCTATCAGGGCTAGAACAGGAAACTAGCATATGAGGCAGCAAAGGGCTTTCAGGACCACATTGGGGGCTTGCTTAAACTCCAACTTGTCAGAGTCTCCTGTGTGATCTGTGTGATCCTCTTCTCAGCATTTCTTCAGAAAAGACCAAAGTGGCTAAGACAGGGCCATCCTTCATGAGGCTCACATCCAGGGATGATAGATACCCAGATCAACTTGACACAACACAGTGTGGACCAGGAATCTGATGGAGTGCTCCGGAATCAGCTGTGTTAGCCATAGACGGTCCATTTTTCTAAATTATACACTAGGCAAAGTATAGCCTAGAAGCTGAGCAGTAGGCCAGGGCATAGGTCATAAAAAAAACCATTGACACTATAGTTTAAACTTTCACCCAAGAGTAATACATATCACAAAGATATATCTGTGTTGACAAAAGTTATTTATTTTTATAAATAAAGGAGTTAAGAAAATGCTGGGTCTCAGAGTGAAGATCATTTGGCTGTGGTTTTTATCTCTATTCTGTCTTCTGGCTTCTGTCATGACTTATAACTAGGTCAACATATTTCAAAGCTCACATTGTCATGACATAGAGCTTGGATGTGCTAAGTACAAAAAAGCAAGTGTTGAGGAGAGAGTCAGCCTAGAAAACAGTGAGGAATGCACACTACTGACTCAAAACTCTGGGCATGGATTTTCTGGTCAATTCCAGAGTAAACAGGCTAGAGGCTGAAAGCCAGGGAAAACACCCTCAGGGCCCCTGAGGTGAGGCGCCATGCCTACAATTGGCATGCTCAGACACATAAAGAAAAGATGGTCATTTGTCTATGCTGTAAAATATAAAAAAAGGCAGTTCCATAAGAGTAACCCAGATTAGCTTGTCATCAGTGTTAGTGGACGGGCAATCCCAGGTCAATCAGACTGTGTCCCAACAGATACATGCTTGATCATGGAGTCACCAGTGGCATTGTTCATTTGCACTTTTTATGTTTTCCCCGTCCTTTTAACTGTTAAATACGGCAAAAGATCTAGTCTAAATGAGCGGTCAACTCTTAACCAGTTATAAACTTGAAGCTCATTTCAAATTTCTATATACAGTAGCCTTTGGAAGAGCACTGGGCCTCACTGTTCACTCCAGACAGACATCCCAGCTTCTGAAAATTCAGAGATGCCAAGCTAAGTGCCTTCATGCTGGGAGGACTCAAACCCAAACGTTCCTCTATCTCCCTCCTATTCCTAAACTCACTCGAGCCTCACAGAAAGACTCTTGCCCTCTTACATGGAAAAGAAACCGGTAAGCAAGCCCCAATTTCAGAGGGACAGCTCATTAGATAAGTTCTAAAGCCATCTCCATGTCTAAAATCCAATGACTATTAGATGAGGCAACTTGTATTTATGAATTCATTTTTCATGGTAAAACCTAAAAAATTGAAAAGCAGTCCAAACTACCTGCTTCCTACGTGAAAGAATATATTCTGGAAAAATAGCTCATGTCAATGAGGTGACAATATCAACAACACATTTTAGATGGTAAATCTAATAGCATAGATATATTAGGTAACAAAAATGGCTTTGATAAAATGATACATTTTATTTTCAACCTTTGAGTGTTGACCAAATGTCCTAAAAGTAGATACTGTAATGACTTGCATGGCAAAGCAGGATGAAATTCCATTTTCCTGATGAAATTCATTCAAACAGAATTTTCATCTGCTCAAGGTCAGCTATGTATGCATTGGTGCCATGAGAGACTATATCCCTCCAAACTGTAAGCTTCGGGGGAAGAAGGGGGAGCAGGAAGAAGAGGAAGAGGAGGAGGAAGAGGAAGAGGAGGGGGAGGAGAAGGAGGAAGAGAGGAGAGGAAGGAGGAAGAGGAAGGGGGAGGGGCAGGAGGAAGAGGAGGAAAGGGGGACAGGGAGGAGGAAGAGGAGGGGACACGGAGGAGGAAGCAGGGAGGAAGAGTTCTTCCCTTAAATTGCTTTTGTCAGGTGTTTGGTCACAGCAACCAGAAGAGCAGCTAATACAATATACATAGCAAAATATACAATCACAACCATTTTAAAAGTATGATTTCATAGTATTACATAGAGGTACACTGTTGTGCGACCATCAAGACCATCTATTTCCAGAGCCCTTTTCATCTTGAAAAACTACAATTCTACTCATTAAATGCTGACACCAATGCCCCCCTCCATCCACCCTTGGAAATCTCGATTCTGCTTTCTCTCTGTGAATTTGACTACTCTAGGCACCAAACAGGAGTGGGACCCTACAACATCTGTGTGCCTCACTTGTTTCTCTTAATGTCCTTTGAGCCTCTCTTCATAGCACTGATCTTTGCATGAAATAGAAATAAACAGACTTTGCCTATGTTTTGAACTTACATTAACCACATTCATCCTGTGTAGCAAAAACACTTGAGCTAGAAACCAAATAATCAACACTGAATAAAATGATCACATTACACATTGAAGGATATGTGCTCTTATTTTAAGCCTATAAGGTGTGACATGTTGCATTCAGTTTAGAAATTAAATTGGAGTGTAACTGAGTTTACTTCTAAACTAAATATTCTCCTAGGAGATGGAAAAGATGGAGGAAAGATATTCCGGGTGGAGCCAAGTGTCTGACAGCCCTGAGAGGCGCTCCTGATGAGGTACTATACCTTAACTAAGTGGACCATTGCATCAACGAAGAACACCATGTCCATGTCAGTGCCTCGGATGCTCTCATTATAGAGCTGCAGGAACACATTCAAACGCTCTCTCAGTTGAGTAAAGGATTCAATTGGCTCATAAATTTTCAGCATTTCAGCATCAGCCTCCTCAGGTGATTCACCTTTGTGAGAATAGATTAAGCTTCTTCAAATCACTGTACTTCACTATTTCCACCTAAAATAGCACACTCCTGGCTCTACAATTTACAGCATTTTGATGAAAAATATTTCCTAAATAAGTATATTGAATTATTTCACTGTAATAATATTTTTAGTCAATATACCTTTTAAACTTAAAAACTCATAATACACAATTTTAACACCTTCACCTTGCTCTGTAAAGCATATATCAAAGATAAAGCTAAACTGAGTATGTATAAATCACTACTATTATTAGCAGGAAAACAGTGACACACTGTTGACTACACCAATACCCACTGAGAAATTTACTGGGTCCTGGGAAAGTGAGTGGGTCCCCCAAAATCCAGAGTTCAAAATTGTCTTCAGTTGACCCTGGCATAATATAATCATACATTAACCTCTTAAGACAAAGTAAAAAACCCACTTAAAAAAAAAAAAAACTGGTCTATTTGCAAAGCTTTCACCAGTAAAACTGCAAATGCCCTCACCCTCTCATAAATGTTTGACTCAAATTCTGAGCATAAAGTGTTCTGAAGCTACAGGTTTTATGATTCCCCATGGAACTTGCCCTCACCCCAAACGGAGCAGCTGTGCTTTGTTTCTTGAAAAACACAATCCAATTAATCATCCTCAATCAAAGGACGTAGTATGGAGTAGATGCAATGAATACAGGATAAATTCTAATTATCTTCAAAATGGCCCTGCAGGATTTCCACATGTGTTTAACTTGATTTGAAATAAATGTGCCAAGCCAGGCATGGTGGCACACACCTTTAATCCCAGCACCTGGGAGCCAGAGGCAGGCAGATCTCTTTGAGATCAAGGCCAGCCTTTGTCTACACAGTGAGTTCCAGGTAAGCTGGGGCTACAGGGAGACCCTGTCTCAAAAAGACTAAAGAAATAATAAATTAAATAAATAAATAAATGTGCCTACTCCTTTCTAAGCAGAGAACTAGTGTTGAATGTTCTTTTGTAGGAATCACTCAGAAACTACGAGAAATCACATATATTGTTATCTCTGTGGCCATTTCCAACAATTTGGAAGACATACCTTGCATTGACCTAGAGCTTCCTATAGAGGTGATGATGATCTTGAATTTCTGGTCTTCCTGCCTCTTCCTCCCAACTACTGGGATTACATGTTTGTTCCACCATTCCCAGTTTACATAGTCCTGGGGATAGAACCCAGAGCTTTGCATGTACTAGGTAAGAACTGTACTGACAGAGCTACATCCCCAGCCCTAACATGTCTTTCTGAATACTCAAGATACCACCTCTTTCCATAAGACAAGGACTCCAGGACCACCTTTCGTGGAACCAAGCATCACAGCCCCCCACCCCCGACCACCACTCGGTACTTCTCAGTTTATCCTATGGGATTATCATAGAAGTTGAGGTTTTTATTTTCTTTTCATCAATCCAGTGACCTGCATAACAATAATCATCAACCTTCCTCTGCGTTTCATTCAGCTGTGACTACAGCCACAGATACTGCGCACTTCACAAAGAACTCTTTGTTTCTTCCCCACAATGCCCATGATGCAATATTCATGTTTCTTTTTACGTACATGAGGACAAGGAAGTTCAAGAAGGCCCATGGAGAGTGGGTCTTTTCTCAGATCTCACTTTGACAAACTGCAAGTCGTACACATTTCTGCTCCCGTATCCAACATCTCTATTCCATTTACTATCCAAGAGTGATCGGCATAAAATCAATTCATCTGTGCACTCCATGGCTCTGTACTGACCCATTTCTTCTGTACTTACTGAGTACCTACTTTGTCCCAGGCTTGTTTTAATGCTTTGCTAAGCAGAAACTCAAGCCCTGCGAATGTGCAGCCCTTCTGTCATCAGATCTCCCTTTTGGGACCACTTTTTGGAGAACTTCAAACTCTGCTCAGATGGTTTACCTGTAGCTTCAGGTGCATCCCTCAGGAAATCCACAAAATAAGCATCAACTCCACATTCCACAAGTTTTTTCTCTTCACCAAATTCCTCCTCCACCAAACTGACTAAAGCCTTATCAAACCAAGTCACATCGTCAGACATGGTGAAGCGGTCAGCTATCACACGCTTACATTCATGCTTCCACAGCTTGAGAAGTTCCTGTTGAGTGCATAATGATGATGCATCATTAATTCCTACTGTGCCTAACTGAGAAGTCAAGTTGAGACATTATAGAGTCTCATCTTTTTTCATTGAAGATCAACACTTTTAAAATCATTAAAATTTGCTCAGATTTCAATTCAAAATGATCTCATTCAACTATATTAAAAGAAAAGTCGAATTTATTCTTTTGTGGTCTCTAAATGAGAAAGTATCCTCAGACTAAAACATTAAAAATCACTCAGATCAACCAATAAACTAATATTATATGAAAAGGTCTTTGGTTTATGACTAAATTAGTCATTTTAGAAACAATGTCTACTTTCCTGTGGTAATTATAGTATAAAGTATAGCACATGAGCATATTTTATGTGTATATACAACTGAGATATTACAAAGCTGTATTTAATTAACTTAGGTAAAGAAAATTGATGACAAAAATATTCTGGGTTATCTGAGCACCAAGTGGTACTCAGGAGTAGTATTTGAGAACCGTATTCCACAATTCCCATTAATAACACTGAAAGGGGAAAAATTCAACTTGATAGTGAGCAACATGACTCATGGAATAAAGGTGCTTGCCATGCGTGCCTGATGACCTGAGTTTGACCCCTGAAGTTCACATAAAGATAGAAGGAGAAGACATACTCCACAAAGTCGTCTTCTAACTTCCACATGCATGTCATAGTGCGCACACGTATGTGCATTTGCATACACATACACATACAAAACAAAAAAGCCACTGACATAATAACATTTTATTTTTTATTTTGTGTGTCTAAGTGTCCTGTCTGCATGCATCCGTGCCATGCAGTGCCTGCAGAGGACAGAAGAGGGTGTCGGACCCCCTGAAACTGGAGTTATGGATGATTGTTAGCTGTCATGTGGCTGCTGGGATTCAGACCCAGGTCTTCTGTGAGAACAGCCAGTGCTCTTAACCACTGAGCCATCTCTCTACCCCATAATAAAGATTTCTTAAAAATAAAAATCAAGTTTTAAATATTCACTGCAGCTAAACTGAGTCTCAATTCCATTGTTGGATTATGAACTTTCCCTAAAAATGTCCAGTCTTCAAAAGTTCACAAGTCCAGCTTCCTATCATGGACGTATGGAGCAAAGCTGAGGGATTTTGATGCTGAACACTTGACATGCTTATAACAGTTCTGTTGGTCATTTCACCCTCTCTGTGCTTATATAAACAATGCTCCTGACACCCAGCTGTCAGATTGGATCCCCAGTTCCAGAAAGGCAGGCAGAGAGGCCAACCCTGACTTAGCCTGAGCACATAGTCATGCTTTGGGAAAATAGAAACACAGGTTTTTAACCTAATGGACTTAGTTCAGAGGGAATTCTTGTAACACTGGGAACTGTCACATCCAAGTATATACATAAATGCTGGTTTTTGAACTAAATGAATTTTCTACTCTGCTGCCTCATTTTTAGATTTTTACCAGCTTGCGCAATTCAAGTTTATCTAGCTACATGGAAAAATCATGGGTGATTAACAACGAAATGACTTCTTTTCATTCTGCTTATTTATAAAGATAATTATGTTTCTCTAGCTAAAAAGTCAGGCTTAAAGTATAAAGAGTATTGTAGAATAAAATCAGTTGTGAATGTTCTCATTATTTATTAAAGAAAATTATCTTATTGTAGGAAATCAAAATCAATGGTTTCTTTTATTCTAGCCTGTGGTGGTTAAAACTGACTGACAACTTGACAGGATCTAGAATCACCACAAAGACAAGCTTCTGGCTCAGCTATGAAGGATTATTTAGAGTAGGTTAACCTCTGGGCATGCTTCTGAGAGATTCCCTTTCTTGGGTTAATTCAAGTGGGAAGACCCTCCCAAGTTGTGCACAGCACCATTACACAGACTGGACTGAATAAAAAAAGAGAAAGTGAGCTGAGTACCAGGACTTACAGCTCACTGCTTCTTGGTGGTGGACTCAACATGACCAGGTACCTAAAGCTCCTGTCACCATGACTTCCCCAATAGCATGGTCTCTACCCTCAAACTAAGGGCCAAGATAAAGCCTTTCTCCCTCAAGTTGCCTTTATATGGGTATTTTACCATGGGCTCAGGAACAGTAAGACATAGCTCTCCAATAATAATTGTGTATACTATTCCCTTAAATATGAATAATTTAATTGAAATTTATAATTAAAATTTTCTAACATAATCACTTTTCCTTTTGTTGATGTTAGCAAAGCAAGGTGAAAAAATGAGTATGTTTACTGAAAGATACAAGTGCCGGTCATAATTCACATAAAAAATAAAATGAATAGCCGGGTATGGTAGCGCACGCCTTCAATCCCAGCACTCTGGAGGCAGAGGCAGGCAGATCTCTATGAGTTCTAGGCCAGCCTGGTCTCCATTTGCAAATCCAGGCCAGCTGTGGCTACAGTCTCAAAAAAAAAACTGGAAAAAAATCAAATGAATAAAAATATTTAGGTTAGGAAAAGTAGCAATGTTATTTTTTTTAACTTTTAAAAAACTTTATTGAGAATTTCATACATGGTATTTTGATCAAATCTATGCCCACTCCCTTCCCTCCAACATCTCCCATATCTACCCATCACTTTTTTTCTGACAACTTTGTGTACTCTTTCTTTCTTTTTCTTTCTTTTTCAATGGGGATTTTTGCTACTCTAACATTCCCTACCTCTGAAGAGGTAACCCTAAAATCTTTTAGGGATTAGATAAGAGCTCCCAAATACTTTTGACATTTTTGGCCTTTGGAACAGAGTATGTGCTATGAGGCCCAAGTACATTTTGACTTTTAGCCAAGAAACTGGCTACTTTTCTTTGGGGTATTTTTACCCTAACTGCCTAGCCAATTCCTACCTCCTATCATTATCACACCATCCTCTGAAGAGGTTACCCAAATTGCTGATAGGGAATCGGGATGCAGACTGCTCTGGTTTCTTCCATGCTAAACAGGGACACAGGGTGAGGCAATTGGGGTACCCCTTCAGTGGGTCTATCTAAAAGACTCCCAAATTGCCTGACTCTTATCTGTAGGAAGAAAAGAAAGTCCTTTACTGGTGAATAGGGGATGTGAAGGAGAAGTAAAAGCAAGAGTAGTTAGCATTGCAAGTTCTAGACAGGGAATCAGAAAAAAAGCCAGAACAGGGAAAATTTCAAATGTTCATATCAGAGTCCATTGGGATTTCTTGATGAGAGCTTCTAAAAGCATCCCTCTATTGGGTTCCTCCTCATTTTTCTTTTGTCTACCAAGGCTGGACTCAAAAGTGATGGACTCAGGATTTGTTTTCAGGCACTTTGACAGCTGTTGGAGTGGGTAGAATCAGTGTCAGGTCCTGCTCAAAGGCTTCTGTCTTAAGTACCACTTACGTCTTGTTCTTTGATGACCTCTGAAGTGGTGTTCAGCATGCCCTGCCAGATCCTGGAGAGATCTCGAAGGTTAAACACATAGTGGAATTTCGCAGGTGTAGGAAGCATTTTCACCTTGGTTACCTGCCACAGGCGGCGTGTCAGGGGCACCAGTTTCCTCACCGCATCTTGCACTTCCTCTGAGAAACCACGCTGGGGACAGTAGTAGCCTACCCCAATCACACCTAGAAAGAGGAAAGACCATAACATCTTTATTAATCACTCAAACTCAGTTAAAAAGGATGACAAAGACAATTAATGTTCTCTTGATTTTTCAAGTATTCAAAAAATAGTTACAGGTTTAACTTAAGTCATCATTCAAAATATCGATAGATGATTAAAGAAATACAGTCAGGAATGGGGATGATGGGGCTATAGCTCAGCGGCAGAGCATTTGCCGAACATGCACGAGGTTCTAGATTCCATTTCCAACAAAGTAAAGAAAAAGAAAGAAAATGATTACTGCCGAACTCTAAGTACACTGTTTCATGTTATTGAATGAGTAGCAATGATAAGTATATAAAACTGACTTATAAAAAGATAAATATACATTCTTAAATCCTCCACAATTTCCCATTCTGTTGTTGACTTTCCATGCATTGTAAAATAATTTTATTTACTTTAGGCATAAAATTTTCCAGGCACCAAAGAATAATTAAAAGTGATGGCAGTTATTCTCTCTGATCCTCTTTACTTTCCCCAAGTTTAGACCATTCAAATGTCATTTGGTTTCCAAACCTTTCCACTGCTGTGACTGAAGGCAAAAGACTGTCTCACTCCACTACCCTGGCTGCGAAGATGACATTTCGGTCTGCCAGAAATTAATTAGGATAATCTTAATGAGTTCTGTGTCAGTGGCAGTTTCAGAAACTGTAAATTAACACCTAACAGAAAGTTGTTCATGACTTTACATTCTCTTTCTGCAAAGAGCAATTTCAAAATCAATCATAAATGTATTTTAATTGCTCAGTTTACGTACATTAAATGTATTTTATATATACATAGGGAGAGAGCACTAGTAGCTCTTCAATTAAATTATCTCTGAATACTTAATCCATCAATTATTGATTACAATTCTGCTGAGTACCCTGATAATCAAATTAGGGTATCTTATTCGTTTTGTAGACCATTGTTCCTATAGCAAAATTTCATTATTTGGGTCAGTTAAAGTATCAGTTACATGTTTTTAACATAGGATAATAAAAACCAGGCAGCTCATCTCCATTTCATGTTTAACGTCTTTGCTTAAGAAGCTGGTAACAGTTACTTAAGTGAGAAAAATAATAATGAAGTGGAAAATATTCACCAAGGCATCCAATCTCATAACAAATCACTGTAGGAAGCAAAATAAAATAGAGTTCTAAGGCTGCAGACCAAAGGGTGACTCGATGCTTTTCGTCCTGTGCTGCCCTGTAGGTGGCTATTTGCTCACAGGAAGGCAAGTTGGTGTTCCTCCCCCTCTGTGGCCCCCAGACATCCATGTTACCAAAGATTTTGTCCATGGATGCATCCGAAGGCAAGGTGCAGTTGAATATAGAGAAGTGCCTCTTCAATCTTTGGGGTATATCATTGCGTCCACCCCCAGGATGGATCATGGCTGCCAAGAACTGGATGTCCACAATGCTGGTAAAGTCCCCAGGCTTCTCTAGGTTATAGAATCCATTTTGTTCCATCAACTGTCGTACAATCTCATTAGTCACCTAAGAAAAACAGCTTTTAGCATTAAAGTGTCATTCCTTGGGCTAGAGAAAAGTTTAAAGTGCTTACTGTTTAAACATAAGGACCTCAGTGCCGATCCCCAGCACCCATATAAAAACCAGATATAATGGTGCACACCTGGAACCTCAGAGCTGGCGGGGAAGAGAGATGGAGACAGGCAGATGCCAGGTTCTTTCTGGCCAGTCACTCTGGCTAAAATGGTAAGTCCCAGGTTCATAAAGAGAGAGTCCATGTATCAAAAAATAAGTTTGGAAACTGATAGAAGAAACTATTTGATGAGAGCCTCTGGCCTACACTCACAGGCAAGTGCATCTGCACACATATGTATACACACATGAATATCATACACACTGGGCTACACACACACACACACACACACACACACACACAGTCATTCCTTTATGTCCCCAGAGCCTAACCCCTTGCATTTTTCTAAAGGATGGAGTTCATTACAATTTGGGAATTGCATGTTGAAGAAAACATTTACTTCTAGGAGCAAGAGAGATGGCTCAGTGATTAAAAGCACTGGCTGCTCTTGCAGAGGACCTGGGCTGATTCCCAGAACCCACACGGAAGCTAACAATTATCCATAACTCCAGGTCCAGGGGAATCTGCACGCTCTTCTGACCTCCATGGGCATTGCACAACACAGGTGCACTTGCATACATGCAGACAATACACTCATATATACACAAAATAAATTAAAAAATAATAAATAAAATATAAAAACATTTACTTTTAAAATTAGAAATAAGTCACAAATTAACAAAATAAAGATGAACAATGGGATCAATATACCTGATCTCCCCATTCATTGATTACTGGCATATTCACATCATCAATAAAGATAGTCATCTTCTTTCCAGCAGGAGGACCATATGTTGTACCCATACGTTTATCCACATAGCTCTCTATTGTCCTCTGTTAAGCAAGAAAGTCAACAAACAAACACATCTGTGACACTTCCCCCAAGACATGATCAAGTACCGAAAGCAACAAACAAAGCTGGGGATCTTTCAAACGACAGGAATTCCAGAAGAGCCAAAATTTCCTCCATAGTTCTTACAAGCTAGTGATAAAGTACCTCAATTATTTTTTCATATTGTTCACAACCTTTGAAAGCCTGGTTTAATTTAACACTGAATGACGTTCTAAACACATACACACATGAGCACCACAAAATTAACGCAGTGCATTGTTTATATATGTATATATTTACAAATGTATGTATGTATATGCAATAAAATGATCAAAGAAGAGAAAACGAATGGAGGGACAAGGGGGGGCATGGGAGGAGATGGAGGGGTTCTCAGCAGAATGAAAATACAATACTCGTGTAAGAAATTCTAAAAATTTTTTAAATTATATTTCAAAAAAGATATTTAAATGTTAAAAAATTTAAATTCCATGCAAGGTGAAAGATAGGGGTTTAGTTTCATTCTGCTAGGGGTGGAGATCCAGTTTTGCCAGCACCATTTGCTGGACATGCTGTCTTTCCTCCAGTAAATGTTCTTGGCCCCTTTGTCAAATATTAGGTGGCTGAAATTACATGTACTCATATTTTGGTCTTCAATATTGTTCCATTGATCTATGGGTCTATTTTTGTGCCAATACCATGTTGTTTTATGCCTATAGCTCTGTAATACAATTTAAAATCTGGTATAGTAATCCCCCCAGCCTTGCTCTTAGTGCTCAGGGTTGCTTTGGCTATCCAAGTTCTTAGGATGGTTTATTCCAATTCTGTGAAAAATGTCATGGGGATTTTGATTGGCATTGCATTGAATCTATAAATGGTTTTTGGTAGGATGGTCATTTTTACAATATTAATTCTTCCAATTCATGAGCATGGGAGGTCCTTCCATCTTCTGATGTCTTCCTCAACCTCTTTCTTTAAAGATTTAAAATTTTCATTGTAGAGCTCTTTAATGTCTTTGGTCAGGTTTATTCTGAGATATTTATTTATTTATTTATTATTTATTTTCAGCTATTGTGACAGGGAGTATTTCCACGTACTCTTTCTCTGATTGCTTGTTATTGGTATATAGAAAGGCTACCGAATTTTGTAGATTAATTTTGTAACCTGCCACTTTACTGAACGTATTAATAATTTCTAGGAGTTTTCTGGTGGAATTTTTTGCATCTCTTAGATATAATATCATACATCTGCAAAAAGGGATAATTTGATCTCTCCTTTTCCAATTACTACTCCATTAATTTCCTTCTCTTGTCTTATTGCTCTTGAAAGAGTTTCAAGCACTATGTTAAAGAGGACTGGACACAGCAGACAACCTTGACTGGTTCCTGATTTCAATGGGAATGCTTCCAGTTTTTCTCCATTTAGAATGATGTTGGCTGTGGGTTTGTTATATATGGCTTTAATTATGATGAGGGATGTTTCCTCCAGTCCAATTCCCTCATGTTCCCATTTGAACATAAATGCATGTTGAATTTTGTCAAAGTCCTTCTCTGCATCTATTGAGATGACCATGTGGTTCTGGTCTTTGAGCCGATTTATGTGATTTATGACATTTATTGACTTACATATATTGAAACATCCCTGCATCTCTGGAATAAAGTCAACTTGATAGTGGTGGATGATCTTTTGGATGTGTGTCTGTTTGCAGTTTGCAAGTATTTTGTTGAGAATTTTTGCATCTATGTTCATTAAGGATATGGGTCTATAGTTTTCTTTTTTGGTTGTATCTTTACCTGGCTTTGGTATGAGAGTGATGCTGACTCTATAGAAGGAATTTGGAAGTTCTCCCTCCATTTCTATTTTTTTTTTAAATAAATTAAGTAGTATTGGGTGTAGGTCTTCTTTAAACGTCTGGTATAATTCTGCTGTAAATCCATCTGGTCCTGGGCTTTATTTAGTCGGGAGGTTTTATATTACTATTTCAGTGTCCTTATGTGTTATGAGTCTGTTTAAGCTGTTAATTTCTTCTTGGTTTAGTTTTGGTGGTTACCATGCTTTCAGGTACCTGTCCATTTTTTTAGGTTTTAAATTTAGTAATATATAGGTTTTTAAAGAACTCTCTTACAACGTTCTGGAACTTTTTGGTGTCTGTTGTGATGCTTCCCCTTAAAGTCAACTCCAAATGGATTAGAGACCTAAATGTGAAACCTGAAACTCTGAAACTGTTAGGAAAGGATTTTCTAAACCAGACATCAATTGCTCAGGAAACAAGGTCAATAATCAACAAATGGGACATCATTAAACAAAAGGCTTCTGTACATCAAAAGAAGCAACCAAGGAAGTGAAGAGAAAACCCACAGAATGGGAGAAAATCTTCACCAGCAACACATCTGACAGAGGTTTAACATCCAGAAAATATAATGAACTCAAAAAATAAAGAATCAAGAAAGGAAGAAGATTAAAAAGGAAGCCCATTAAAAAGATGATCTAAGGAGCTGAACAGAGATTTATCAAAAGAATAAATAAAGACAGCTAAGAAGCATCTTAAAAGGTGTTCTATATCACTAATAATTAGGGAAATGCAAGTTAAAACCACTTTAAGATTTCATCTTACCCCAGTCAGACTGGCTAAGATCAAGAGAACAAACAATACCAAATGTTGGAGATGTGGGGAAAGAGGAATGCTCATGCACTGCTGGTAGGACTTCAAACTTTTTCAACCCCTGTGGAAAGCAGTGTGGAGAACCCTTACAAAACTACAAATGAACCTACCATTTGACCCAGTTATACCACTTTGGCATATGCCCAAAGAATTCATCCTATTGCAGAGACACCTGTACATCCATGTTTGTTGCTACTCTTTTCAAAATAGCTAAGAGATGGAAGCAACCTAAGTGTCCCTCAACTGATGAGTGGATAATGAAAATGTGGTTCATTTATATGATGGAGTTTTACTCAGCAGTAAAGAAAGATGAAATCAGGAAATTTGCAGGTAAATGGATGGAATTGGAAACTGTTATACTAAATGAAATAACAGACTCAGGAAAAAAACAACATATGTTCTCCCTCATATGTGGATCCTAGAACCAAATCCTGATAAGTGAGTATGTATCCAGACATAACTACAGGAACCAGGATAATGAAAAGAAACCAGGGAGGTAAAGGAAAAGAAAGATTCTGAAAGAGAGGAACAGTAGAAAACAGGCGTAATAAGGGAGATATGGATTAAAATGGGGTTATTTTAAGGGGAGGGGGAAGGGAAGGTAATACAAAGAACCTAGGTGATAAAGGGAAAGAAGGGGCTCAAGAGAGGTGGGACCACAGAAGAAGGGTATTATTAAGGGAGAAATGGGAAAAATTGGGGCATCTTAAATGAGGAAATCATGGTGGAATGCATAGACAATGCAAGAGATAAATAATGCCTAGCTAATTTTGAAAAACCAGAGGGAACCATATTAGTCCAACACGCTACTGACAAATTATACATACAACTAGATCAAGGAATAAAATATCTGTCTTGGCAAGGTTTATCTGAGAATGTTTGGTCTTTGCCCAAGCTTTAGCTACATGGCACATGGTAATTAAAAGTACCAGACTGGTAGAACTAACCTTCTTGGATGTTTAACAGCCATACTTTGAGGCCTATATTAATTTGGTCAGAGGGACATAAAGGACAGTTTTTGCTCTTTGCCCTCATAGGTAGACTAAGTTCCAGGGGACTATGAGCATTTCTGAAAATGTCCTGTAACTATGGTGAATCACCTGTTCTCTTGTTCAGGGATGCCATGGAGACCCCACCAGATGGACTTGAACCAGTGTCCAGTCTACAAAGAGCGGGGTCAACAGAGAAGAAACATTTCCTCCATGCTTCCAAGCTAAACTGGCCATGGTCAAGCAGGACCTTTGACTTATCTTCACATAGATGGAACTGGTAAAGGAAAGGAGCCAGGGGCTCCTCCCAAGCCCATGTGACCCCTGAGGAACAGATCCTCAAACGGCCTTAATAGTAAAATGAATCAGTTTATCTGGGCCAACTGTAGGGTCTTAAATACCCTAAAGGAAAGTATAACCAAAGATTAAATGGGTCAATATAATTTTTAAGAGTCCATAGGTATAGCTAAAGGCTACATAACAAGCAACAATGCCAGATAGTAGATACCTTCCTTTGAGTTGTTGGCCAGGGTGGCCCAAGGGACACCCAGACAGTAACCCAGCATAGAACTGGGAAAATGAACAGCAGACCCCAATCTTATCTAAGGAATGTTGACAACTGATTGCTGCTAGATGAGGAACAGTTGATCTTCTTAAAACAAGGATCTCTAGATAGGCTGACTAGATTCAGTGGATCGACATGCACTGGGGAACAGCTGGGGGCATTGACAACACAGTGGACAGTAACAGGGATGATAGAGTATATGGGTTCCAGTGGGGGGGGCAGTTGGGGAGGGTGCCATTTGGGAAGTGGGTATATAGATAAATAAGATTGGGATGTTTTGTATGATACATACAAAAAAATCAACAATAAAAAATGAATTATATTTGAGGAGGAAGCATAAAAATTTACTTCTTGTTAATTAGTAGAGGTGATAAACATTACCATTGAAATCTACCTGATGACTATATCCATACTCAGGTGCCAAGGATCTGAGTGTAACCAACTGTGACTAGTAATAATCATATGCATAGAGATTAGAGATGCATGTGCAAACATCTGTTAGCAGCATTAAAAATCAGTCTTGGGGGCTGGAGAGATTGCTCAGTGGCTAAAAGCACTGACTGCTCTTGCAGAGGACCCGGGTTCAATTCCCAGCACCCACATGGCAGCTAACAACTGTCCATAACTCCAGTTCCAGGGGATCCAACAGCTTCTTCTGAACTCCGAGGCATTGCATGACACAGGTGCACTCACATACATGCAGGCAGTACACTCATACACATAAAATAAAAATAGTAAATAAAATATCTTTTTAAAAACAATTAAAAAATGAGCCTTGCTGTAGGAAAG